TGGTCATCTGCCTTGACCAGTTGGGGGGAGAGAGAGAGAGAGAGAGAGACAGAGAGAGACAGAGAGACAGAGAGACAAACAGATGTACAGCAATACAGTACAGTATCTAGATTATTTAGTTCAGTTAAAGAAATGGTGTCTCCTTCTCGGAAGCTTAGGGAGCAGTGGGCTAAAGACAGCTAAATACTGAAATCAGAGACGGTGTGAAATCTGCATTAAAAATACATGCTTTAGAAATGCTTTATTACAGTTTAAACTATTACATAGACTACATTTCAGCAAAAGTAAACTAGCTAAGATGATCCTAGGATCTGATATGATATGCTCATCAAGATGAAGCCACTTTGTATTACATTCAGAGCATTCCAAAACATTTTTTCATATTTGTAATAAGGAGATTTGACAAGACTGAGGATGTTGAGTAGCACTTAGAAAGTTTGCACTTCAGTGCACAGACTGATATTGGTACAAGGGTTGATGTTGATTCAATGGAAAACATTCAAAAAATTGGACACAACATCTTTTATCACCTCTGTGTATGGAAGTTATTGTGTTGTATATTGTGTTGTGAGTACTTTCACATGTTAGAGAAGTACAATAAGAAGGTTTAGATAGATAGATAGATAATAGATAGATAGATGATAGATAGATAGATAAGATAGATAGATAGATAGATAGATAGATAGATTAGATAGATAGATAGATAGATAGATAGATAGATAGCAAGTCTTGGCCAGCCATCTCTCCACCACCACTCCTCCAGGGTGACCGAGCTTCAAGCCAACAACCAGACTCCTGCTTTTTTAATGATTTTGTTCCATCTGTTGGCGTCCCCTTTTGCCTTGATGCCCGCACCCCAGGACAAAGAGTCAAAACACTCTCTCTCCTTTAAATGCTTTTTTTGGGTGTTTTTTTAATGTAGGAAATGTGTGTAAATAGATTGCACAAATGATAAGGGCTGCATGATAAGGTAAGAAAAAATATTGCGATGATTTAGACTGATTATTGGAATGATAATTTTTGGCCATAAAATGTTCCTTATCACTGAAAATACGATTACAATCATGATGGTGTGATGTGATTTGTTGTGGTCTCTACAAACAAACATGTTTTCTTACATCTGCAGAACAAGATTTGTATGTCTGGGCATCTCTGCAGCTCTATAGTACTTCATTATAATGCTGTTTGTCACACATGTGACATTTATCAAACAACTGCAGCTTCTTTGATTTGCATATTGCACTTGGCCATACTGCAATTTCGATAATATTTTGATTAGGTGTGCAACCCTAAATCTGATATGTATGCTTATAAGCTTATTGTAAAACAGTTGGTGCTATACCCTGTATTTTTCATTAGAGGAGGTAATGATAAATCATCACTGACATGACATTTGATGGCATAGAGCTGCTTAGGTACACCTGCAAGTGCACTACTTGTTAACACGTAATGACAACACCCCACATTACCAGCAATCCTTCTGTTTTCACGTTTTCCGTTCCTCTCGGAAAATATTACTCCAGTATGAAACAGCATTTTCATAACAGATTACAAGTAAAATGCCATGCCTATCATTATGCTGAAGGGTGTCATTTCTAGCAGCATGTGTTTTTATCCTGGGGAGGCAAAAATGCAATCCACAGATCATGAAGTCTTCTTTTGTGATGAAGAATTTAACACAAAGACAATGTGTGCAAAAAGAAGACTACTGTAGCAGTATGCAGTGCATGCAAATGCCAAACCTATTGTACTTGAACACAGTATGAACCAATAGTAAAGTTTGTCAAAATCTTATTCACAAGTTTGAAATGTGGTTTATTTTGACCAACCTGGAAGAGGCGTGTGAAAATGTCGAACTCAAACACAGAAATGAAGTCATTGCAGGTGAGGTCGATGGTGGATTTGAGGGCCATGGCCTCCAGACCCGAGCTGATGAGATGCACTTCGTGAAGGCACTGTCGGAAGACTTTCCATGGCACTATCGTCCTGCAACAGAGCAACAAGTCCAATCAGCAAAAGCACAGGTAGAGCAACTTGCGAGACTAAAGATGTTTTGTCAGACAATTGTCGGGCTCTACGACGTAGGGTGTTAGAGTGGTCTAACTGTAATAGTTTAATCAATTAATGGTTATCAAAAATTATAATTATCAAAAGATAATAGAAAATGACTTTAATTAAAGTTCGCTCCGGGGCACCAACTCTTAAATAAAGGGCTTAAATAGGCGTGATGACAGGTCTTGGTCCAAGGAAACCCAATGCAGTCTGGTGTTTGGCCGTTTATGGCCTTATAACCACACACCTTGGCCCGCATTCCTTGACGCCCCCCCCAGCAGAGGGGTGCTGTTATCTGGCAGGCGTGTTCCCTTTGTTTCTAACCACTACTAAGAAGGTTTTATGGCTTAGCATAGCAGGCCCTCAGGACAAATTCTTTGTTTCTGAGCACAGTGGTCAGATTCCAACATGTTCCTTTGTGTTTCAGTTAAACACTTCAAATGAACAAGTTCATATTTAAATATCCTTGGATCCCAAGCACAATGCATCTTTTATTCATATGAATGTGCGATTTGACAAATGCGCTGCACAGGTTTCTGTTGAGACCAAACATTCACAACTAGTGTGTGAAATTCAAAAGATAAGGTTGAACTTCTGCCACATAACAGCTGCTTTTAGACTAGACACAAAAAAAAACATTTCTCCACATTAAAGTGAACCTCCTCCCCCCAGTTTGTACCCAGTATTCTCACCAAACAAAATCTGACATTTGATTTGAAGGACTATGGAAAAGAAAGTATCTGTTTGGTGATGTTAATTTCTGCCAAAATGTCAAATCAACCAGTCAATGCATGTGGTGACTGTGATCAGGCAGCCTCAAGTGGCCTGTTACACTCTGGCTGATGCTCCTCAAACGACCAAGAAGTTTACCCCTCCCACACAAACCATATGCTTACTTCCTGGACAGCGTTAAAGCTTCTATTGCAACAAAAGTACAAAACTAAAACACACTGCTTACTAATGCAGCAAACCACAGCCTTCACTGAACTCGTAACCAGTCATTTGTTTTAGAGGTTACAAGGAGTAGTAGTCCTCAGTGGCTAAATATTGAAGTTCGCTAAAAGAAAAATAACTCCTTAATGTTCGTCCACCAGATGCAATGCCATTTAATTTATGTTCAGCATTAGGGTTTTTATAATTCCCTAGTACAAGCTGAGCTAAGCCACACATTTTTTTTTTTATAATCAAAGTTTGATCCAAGTATTACTACAGTGGCAAGTTTTTAATAACATCTTCATAATTTTTTTTTTGCAATAAACATTCTGGTTACAATATAGATTGAAACAGAAAAACTCAATGCTTGAACAAGCACATGTTTTTTGTAAATAAGAGAGGAATGAACATTGGTCCATGAAGTCTGCAATGGCTAAACCTAAAATCAATCACACAGTATGGTAGTGCTATCCCCTTGAGCAAGATACTGAACCCCAAAATTCGGCTCCCCGATGCATAGCATCGGTTGTGTGAATGTGTATGAATGAGTTAGTTTCTGTTTCCAATGGACTTTACTATCAGCTGGAGTGAATGTGTATGAAAGGGGGTGAATAGTGGCACGTAGTGTAAAGCCGCTTTGAGTGGTCGAAGACTAGAAAGGCGCTATACAAGTACAGGTCCCATTTACCAGATTTAACGCAATTTACCAGAATCCCGTTTGATAGTAGATCAAGGCTGTAAAAAAAATAAATAAAAGACAAGCCAGTGGCTGACGGTAACAATGACTCTCCTGGCTCGACGCATGGGGGCTGAAAAAAAAAAACCGCACAACTTTTAATATTCACTTGGCTGTATACATTAGCCTCACTACCCAACTGATGTCTGACACCAACCCCCTTACTGGAACACACCAAGCACACCAACACACACCCACACACACACACACACACCACACCCACCACCACACACAGAGAACGATATGATTAATCATGCTGCTCTATCAAGCATAGCATATGCAAACTTTAGGAAGTAGCTGGTTACCTATAATTTACACAGCATTAATACACCACATACAGACAGAGTTGACTGATTCCAAAGAGATCATGTGACAGGTAGGGAGCGAGCTCAATTTAGACTGAAGACGACTCCTGCTGAATTGGGACAGCTGTGATTGAATGTTCCAGTATGAACCTTTGACTGGGAGGAAAAATTATGAGGAGGGAAACTCTTTTCACGGATCTCCTCTGGCAGCTTCTCGCAGGTTCTCCTCAAACAGTCTTCTCGCAGGTATGGATGACGAGGCATGGCATTCCTTTCGCCCGTTGACCCGGCCGAGGTTTGTTATAATCTATAATAGATTAGTCTTTGGAGTGGTTGCGGAGACAGAGGAGGGTGAGCAGAGCCACTTCAGCTGCAGCAAGGAATACATTGTCTCGGGTGGGAAGATTTTCAATTTGCCTAAAGTACAAATACAGCCATGGCTTATAGCTTGACGGCTTTAAAGAGGGATCATAAGTGGCATATTACTCATTTATAAGAGGTTGTAGATGAGTTGATTTAATATTAGGCCACAGGGGAGAAAATGTGGAAAAGACAATATTTCACAGGGCAAATCAAAGCTATAAGCCATGGCCTGTATTTGTACTTTAGGCAAATTGAAAATCTTCCCACCCGAGACAATGTATTCCTTGCTGCAGCTGAAGTGGCTCTTGCTCACCCCTCCTCTGTATCCGCACCACTCCAAAGACTAATCTATTATAGATTATAACAAACCTCGCTCCGGGTCAACGGGCGAAAGGAATGCATGCCTCGTCATCCATACCTGCGAGAAGCACTGTTTGAGGAGAACCCTGCGAGAAGCTGCCAGGAGGGAGATCCGTTGGAAAAGAGTTTTCCCTCCTCATAATTTTTCCTCCCGTCAAAGGTTCATAGCTGAACATTCAATCACAAGCTGTCCCACATTCAGCAGGGAGTCCGTCTTCAGTAAATTGAGCCTCGCCCTACCTGTCACATGGATCTCTTTGCGAAAAAAAAAAAAAAAAAAAAAAAATTTCAGTCAACTCTGGTTCTGTTATGTGGTGTATTAATGCTGTGTAAATTATAGGTAACCAGCTACTTCCTAAAGTTTGCCATATGCTATGCTTTGATTTTTAGAGCAGCATGATCTCAATCGATATCGTTCTCTGGTGTGGGTCGCTGTGTGTTGTGTGTGTGTGTGTGTGGTGTTTGTGTGTGTTCCATGTAAGGTGGTTGTCAGACATCAGTGGGGTACGTGAGGCTATATGTATACAGGCAAGGTGAATATTAAAGTTGGGTGGTCCAGCCATGCCGTCGAGGCCAGGAGGAGTCATGGTTACCGTCAGCACTGCGCTTTGCTCTTTTATTTATTTTTTTACAGCCTTGATTACTATTATTATATACGGATTCTGGTTAAATGGCTAATGGTAAATGACCCCTGCTACTTGTTATAGTCTCATATATGAACGCATCCACTCAAAGCACTTTACACTATAGTGCAACAATTCACCCTTTCATACACATGTCACCTCATGTCAGCCATGAGACAAACTTATCCCTTGTGATAGTAAAAGTCACGATTTGAAACAGCTAAACATAACTCAATACCGAATACACACATTCAACACTCACCGGTTATTCCTAAAATTGCATCGGGTGTTGCATTTTGGGGTTCAGTATCTTGATTCTATATAAGGGTGTGGACTATTCACTTTGATCATACTGTGTGATTTTGGTGATTATTGCGAGTTGCAGACTTCTGAGCATGGTTCCATTGCTGCCCCAGGCTTCAGCGAGCGTCTTATCGCTGCGTGCTGTGTGTGAGCAAGAAAAACATGAATGTATTGGTGTCAAAGCGATGAGTATCTTCCTTGTTATGCTTCGGCAAGTCTGATATTATTTGGTAACCAGAATGTTTTATGCAAATATTATGAAAGATGTTATTAAAAACTTTGCTACTGTGTAAATACTTGATCAAACTTTGATTATAAAAAAAAAAAATATGGTGCTTGTATGCTCAGCTTGTATCTAGTAATTTAATATCTCCCTAATGTGAACATTAAATTAAAATGGCACTGATAGGGAGTCTTCACATCAAAACATTTAACCATCTGGTGAAAATAGGAATTGATTTGAATTGTCGTCATAGCTCCCTGGTTAAGATCCCCTTCAGACGACATTAGATCTTGTTTAGATACTACCCTATTAGCACTTGTAGACTACTATTCATACGCGTAGTTTTGTAACTCTAACATATCAACGAGGTTGACTTGCGGTTACGGCCGTTCAGTGAAGGCTGAATTGTTTTATGCCTTGCATTAAGGTAGCAGTGTGTCTTGGTTTAGTTTCTGTACTTTGTCTGCGAATAGAAGCTCTTTAACTGTGTCTAGGAAGTTTACATACTTCATAGGTTCGAGATGTGAGGTTAAACTTCTTTCGGCCATTGTTTGGAGAGCATTCAGCAGGAGTGTAAGGCCACTGGAGGCCTGCTGCATCACACGTCAAATTCAAAAACCTGCATATGGTGATTTCCGACATTTTTGGACAAGAAATAACATCACGCGCTAAACAGCGAGATACTTTTCGTTTGCCATAGTCACCTATTTCAAATCAAATGTCAGATCTCTGTTCGGGTGAGAATGCATGCGTACAAAACTGATAGAACGGATATCACAAGTGAGAAATTGTTTTTTCTAGATCTATTCTACCCCACAGGTGTAATATTGTGCAGGAAGTTCAACCTAAAAAATACATATTGAATTTCACAACACTTTAGTTGCTGAATGTTTGTTCAACAGAACCATGTGCAGCCGCATTTGGATCAAATGCCACATTCATATTAGAATAAAAAAAAAAAGATGCAATTGTGTTGGGATCAAGAGATACCTTTAAATATGAACTTGTATCAATTGAAGATGTTTAACTGAAACACAAAGGAACATGCTTGGAATCTAGACCAATTTGTGGGCTCAGAAAAAGAATTT